GACAACAGCTGGTCTGTTCGTTTTCTGCACTTGCTGTTTGACATCATCTCATTCCCGCCCCGCCCCCCAAACGTGAACATTCATCTGACAATCACGCAGTGGGTTGATGTATAGTGCTTAGACTGCGAACGATGACATTTTCGAACTAGTCGAAGCGTATTTCGCAACCAAATAGCACTAGATGATTTGATGTGTCCTGGTCATTTGAGTGGGTTTCCTTTGCCTGACCTGCAAACAGCACGTGTTGGTAGTATTCTTCTCCCTAGCCGACATCTGAGTTCACAGGGACTTCTGTTTCATTTTACATCTTATGCTATTTCATGAACTATCTATCTGTCTCTCGTTAAGTTTTAACGATATTTTTTCTGGTTCGATGAAAATTGCTTCAAAATGCACAGGCTAATCATTAGCCGACAAGAAAGAAATGATTGTTACGATCCATTATTCACTCTCAGATCCTTTTTTTATTACACACCCAAGTGTGATGAACAATAGACGGGGCGAACCCCATAGTCACGGGGACCTGCTGTTCAGTGGTGGAACTCGGCAACCTGAGCCTCGGAACTTGCAAAGGCGAACCATTTAAGACCCCGATAGGTTAGGCTTGAAAATGAACCGGACGACAGCAAAGCTGCCTGCCACCAAAGTTGAATGATGGTGGCGGGGCTCGAACCTCGGACCATAGGGTTCAAAGCACGCCAAGGACAGCGACCAAACCACTGTGCCACCACTATAATCATGTCCGACCCTCCCCCCGTAAAATGGAAAGGAGCTCTGTCTAATAAATATGCAACATTCATACCGATTGTTGCTTTTATATCGAGTCATCTGCATCTTGCCGGACATTATTCCGTTTCTCGGCGAAAACGTGTTCCCATGATAAACCTTCCTCGCCCAGCTCTGCGTCAGTCACAATTGCGGTCTATTGGCTGATCAATCAGGAATTCAGAAACTGTATCAGTCATTGTTTCTGTTTACAAACGCAGAATGCGATCACCGCGCAAGCACCACCCTGCACATGAAGTTAGACAATCCAATCTTAAATATTTTCCAATATTCTTAGTCAATCACACTTAGGAATGCGAAATAAATTATGTGAACGTACCTAAAGAAGATGATGGCATTTTGAATGATGTACTCATGTTTTACTTTTATTGTACAACGCGTTCGATTGGTGTGAGGGTGCAGGACTTTTTGAGTTGTGTGTGTGTGTGTGTGTGCTGATCTCGTGGCATTCAAGTTTCAATACATATCCTGGCCTTGAGAAACATTTATGAATTTTATGTAAAATGTGTTACTTGACTTCCTCCACTGCCTTGTGCGGAATAAATGATCGGTGATTTTGTCATCTACTCACATGCAATAACGTATTGTATGAAAACCATGTTGCTCGGGGATTTACATTTACAAACGATCAAGTTCCACCGATGTGCAACACTAAATCGGTCAATTTTCACATTCAGGGTTCGGTTTTCCACTACAGCAAATTATTCATGGTTGCCGAGGTACGGCCCTTTGGGTGTGCGTTTTCTTTCTCAGTATCGTTACCGTGACTGGGAGATTCTGCTCATGTATTGCATGTTTTTACTGATTTTTATGCACTAATCGCTGGGCAGTGCTTGATGACTGAAAGGAGCTAATCGAGTTTTTCTTCCTTTTCATGCGTACTGTGTCGTGCTGCTGCTGCTCCGCAGTCGGTTTTCTTTTCTTTAATCCCTCTCCCCTGTTTTTTTTCCGCAGAACTGATGGATCCTTATGCTGTGGCTGTTCTACTCCAACATGATCTGGTTGTGGTAGATTTGCTCTCCCCAAAGTGAGTTCGTTGTCTCTGGATATGGTTGTTCACAATCATCCCCCCCATCCTGTACGTCCCCAATCGTTCTCAGGTAGGATCCGAGTGCTTTGCTGTTTCCATAGTTTGCCCAATGACCAGTGAAACAAGAGATGTTAACATTGATGACAACCATTTTACTATCTGGTCAACAGAGTTTTTCTCGACATTGTTCATTCCCATCATGACATCCGCGCTTGCTGATCGAGTGTCCCGCACCATTTTGATTACGCTCTCTGAAAATCTGGCCTCGAGAAATGGTGCTTCGGTTTACTGATTTCATTTATGACTTGATCACCATATCTGTTCACTCCAGCTTCATTTGCTCTGATATTTTCTTGCTTGAGTGCATGAGTTCACACCTAACCTTGTACCGCTTACTACATGCTTTAGTGCAGAGCACAATGGAGATGATTAACTCCATATTCACAATGAGCTAATTTTTTGTTATGCCAATCGAAGGGGGAACTCAGCTGTGAAAATTCGAGTATAGTGAACAATATAATACCTCGCCAGGATAAGCATGCTGCGAATCTTGATGTCGGCGATCACCTTGAATCGTGGGGCTCGGACACATTTACATGACAGAGGTATGGCGCTTGATCACCGCCGGATAAAGTGGTAACCATTTTGTTGTTGTACGTTGTTCTAATCTATCTACACCGTTTATGCAGAGATTTATTCTGAACCACCTGGGTCTGTAGCTTTTTTTGAGAAACAGCTAATTTTGTTTCATTCCCCCATCCCTTCATTGCACTCAGTTTGGCCATCTTCGAGAACCCCTATCCCATGGATTTACACTCCTCACCGGTCACCGCCTGTCTTTATTTAGTCGACTGTCCAGGTGATCTTGTTCCTGCCTTCTTCTCCGTCGGAAGTCGAAGTCAACGATCCCGTGCCGGTCCGAACACGTCGGCAAGTAATTCCTCCAACGAATCGGAAACATTCAGTTCACGCGAATGGCCCATTACCGGTGGAGAATGGGGTCTGAGCTACAATCCTTATCCAGAACTGGTCCTAACCGGGTAAGGGTTACGTTATGTTTTTCTCTTTGCTCCTAATACTGTACTGTTGTATTCCACCTCGTTATCACTGGCACTCCGGTCGGTAAGGTCTCGAATTCGAACACGAGCATTCATCTCTCCTGTTATCCTGCATGCACACGATGTTTCACTCGAATTCCCAGTGCCGGGTTAGCATGGTGGTCTCAACACCCATTAAGTCCCTGAGGTAATCGGGTTTGTCCTCATGCATGCGCTGTTACAAACTAGCACGAACACCTGTACCAGGTATGTATTTATTATTACAGGTTGTCAGTATAATCTTTGTCCAGAGTTCACCCGATACGTTGCGATGTGAAGGGTGAGATAAGTGATCACTCATACGGATGATAGATACAGCACCAAACTTTGCACACGTACACACACAACATGCTTCTTGCCGTGTACAGAAAATTGACAAAACAGTCTACTTTTTGAATACCATTTTACTCCTAACTGGGATTGTGTCTATAGAAACTCTCCGTGCCGGGCAGATCCAGCCTTACCAAAAAGCACAAGGTTGTTTGTCTCGCCTCACCGTCACCGATCTTGACTGATGCGTGGTCAGATGTTCTGGGTCGTTCTTGCTTCCTTCATCACCCTGCCGATTAGTCCCTATTAATTTTGCCACAAACTTTTTTCTGTTTTCTTTTCTGTTTTTGAATACACAATGATACAATTTTCAGGAAGGGGGAAGCGGCCAATCAAAAGGCTGCCATGGAGATAGTCAGGTGGTGGTGGTGGGGTTCGAACACACATCCTCCGAGGTGGTAATTTTGGTGACGTTACCACCGGGCCACCAGCGCCCATACTTTGTGGAAAATTTTCGTGGTCGTCATTTGTACAGTAGTTGGCTGAATTACAATACGAACGTAAGACGAAACGTGATCAATCTCTAAAAGCACTTCGTTTCTATCACACCCAC